GTTTTTAACTTGTTTTGCTTGTGCATTTGTTTGAAACCCCAAACATATGTTTTGATATGGTAAAATGTTATTGGTTGTCAGCAGAGATCCAATACATTTTTTCTGTTAATGTCAGTTATCACAAATAAAAAACATCTATTTTCATTTTTAGTGAACCCTTAGGATTCCTTGATAACAGCTGCCAATTCTAAAACTTGATTGGATTATATAGAAAACAATTGCCTAAGAATAAAGAAATTAAAAGGAAAAAAAAACCCTGCCTTTGAGCTAGCCTAATAAAAGCACTGTTTATGATAGAAGCCAAGAGTTAGTTCAGTAGGATAAGCAATTATCCTATTATGCTCAGTAATTATGATCAGTAATCTAAATGCCACACAACTCCACAGCATCTAGGAAAGGGTTAATGTCCAGGAATCCTTAATAATGGAGTCAATATGACCTCAGCACTAGTTGATTCCAACTAAGGCCATATAAGACATCCTGTCTTGCTAACATTACTCTAGAATTATACAGAACACTGACTTTGATTTTGTGTGAAACTGGGAAAGAGAGCAAATATTGACATTGGGTTTGCAAGTAATATGCTAGACTTAATTTCCTATCGCAAACTCAAATGACAAAATCTAGGTGTGAAGTTCATTTATGAACGACTTCCAGGCTCCATGAAAAAGATATAAAGAACTGGGCACAAACACACACAGACACAAACACGTACTTGTAGTGTTTAAATTTTCTTTACGTTACTCCCCACCACACACATACACACTTGCAAATGTATTTACTTGCCTCAATGGCAGTTTCATTCCCTATATTGCCTTATAATTTGTTTTATAATGCACATCTTTGAATATTTTTATTTCCATCACTTACAGATTTCCATAAAAACCAAATTAAAATAAGAACTAGCATACATTAATTTTTCTTAGTCTTACCAATAAGCTTACTTGTCTGATTTATTTAAGGTGGACTGACTTTGTTTCTTTCGTATCTAGAACCCAAGATTCCTGGCTTATTTTCAAAGTCAGTACATGCAAATCTGTTCTTGTGTCAAAATCTTCCCCAGTGGATATGTTGCATTTCCAAGGAATATTTGGAAATTATCTGCTTATATGCAAATGGTACTGCTTAAAACCAGTTAGACATGTTCTCAAGACAGGGCATCTCCGAGAGTACCAACCTCCTGGAAGTGATGTTCCCTCGTCGTTTGTCCTCCACAGTGGTGAGTTTATACATTGGATGTTAGAAAACCGCCTAGTGCTACCTTTTCCTCACCCCCTCCCCCAAAAAGGAATCAAATATATATGTAATAGAAAAACATGCCTTTTTATTTATTTTTACTAGCATATAATTTGTTGTACAGAGGGTTGCATTGTGACATTTACATATGTGCTTACAATATATCTTAATTAAATTCACCCTCCCATTATTCTCCTTCACCCCCTCTCTCCCACTTCTTAGAAAAATTTCGGCAGGTCTCATTCTTCTATTTTAACATACAAATACAAAATACATCCACCACACTCACCCTCATTCACCCTCTCCTCATGTGCGCCCCCTCTACTGCTACCTACCTAACCTTGGAAAAGATCTATTTTACCCTCTGTCTTTCATTTCTTAAGTGTACGTTGATAGTCCAAGAGGGATTAGTTTTGGCATTTCAGACATGTATATATCATGCTTTAATCAAATCATATGAGCCTCATTACTTATTCTTTATCACCATGCTTCCCATTATTTGACAGCTTACAGTGTATTGTGTTATGCTATATTTCATACATACATGGGATGTTTTTGGGATGTTTCAATGTTTTTCATTCTCTAACATTTTCTTTTGATAGATAAAAATTGGTGCAAATTCTAAGACAGAAGATTTTAGTGTGGTACATCATTTCTTAAAGTCAGTTGATACAATCTGGGGACCACAACCTTTCCTGATTACCTGCATATCATTTTAAGTTGCAGGGCATTACCTGCAGGTTTGCTATCTTCTGCAAAGCAATAACCATTCTGTGCAAACCTGTATCCCTCTATTAAACTATTCACAATCAGTAGAAAGTTACCACAAGAATTGGACCAGAAGTTCTTAATAACACAGTCTAATTTATCAAAAAAAATACAAAAAAGCAAAAATTCATACTATGACTCTTTTGGATTGAAGTTAACAAATAAATTTCTATTCATAAAAAGAAACAATTTAAGAGAAAAATCTTACCAATAAATTTCTATTCATAAAAAGAAGAATTATAAGAGAAAAATCTTACTCAAATTATATCTTTTGAAATTGAATTACTGTAAAATTAAACCTAGAAAATCATGGAGAAGCTATGGCAAAATGCTGAAAAAGTAGACAAGCACACAGAATGAAATGAAGTCAGAAAGGCATGGCGTGAGGAGGAGGGTGTTAAAATTCACAAGTGCATGCTATAAACAGAATAAAACAATGGATGTGGAACATTGTGTTTGACAATGTGACAGGAGAGAAACTTTAAAGAACCATATGGCTGGTTTGGTCCTAACACTGTTTTTCAAAGGACACTATCTATTCTACCTAAAAATAACTTCACAGTGCTGCTCAAAGGATCCATTCTGTTCATTGTTACCCCTCTGATGCACCCACAATAATCAGGCCCCTGGACTCCTCTGAAGCAACCTTAGGAAACTTGGAACTCTGCTGATGGGTCCTAAAATCACTGTAATATTAAATTCATATTGTTCAGAGTCAACAGAAACCAATATAACTGGGGTGGGAGGAGGCAGAACCTCACAAAAATAACGAATCTCAAAAGACACCTGTGTCTGTTCTCCTACTGTCTCCATGTCTTGGGGTCAGGCCTCAGTTTACCCTCTCTTATTCCTTAAAGGAGCTTCACAAACCATCTCTGACCTGATGACTTCAAGTTTATGTCCAGGGGCTCAAGTTGAACAGTTTGTAGAGTCAGCCTTGATTCTCTCCCTCACACTCCACACTCTGTCCAGTAAGAAATTATGCTGACTCTAGCTTCCAACTATATCTAGAACTGACCAATCCCATCATCACCATCACTCATCCAGACTTCTTGCTCTGCCTGGATGGTTGCCACACCTCCCAGCTGGTCACTTAGCCCTTACATTGCATTTTCAAAACATCAGCTGTAGTGGTCCTCACATACAATATCATTATTTCACTCCTCTACACAAAGCCATCCGGTGAGTCTCCATTCCACCTGAAGAAAACTGAAGTTCTGTCAAGGGTCTAAAATGTTGTGGTGGATACTGCTACATGCTGCCCAATGATTCAGAATGACTTATCACCAGGAGGCTGGAAGAACTGTTGGCAGACAGCCTACAGCTATCACCATCTTCAGAGATGACTTCAGCTGAAGAGTTACCTCACCCAAGGTCACAGGTCTTCCCAGGACAGACATTTCCCATATGCCTGAGTCGTAGGTGGTTACTGTAGCCCAGCCAGGACCACCCCAGAAGGCCACTCAAGGTCCAGCTCAGGGTGGGTTGATTAAGCCTGGCCTGCATTACAGCTTGACCTCTGTTTTTTGGCCAGCTTCCTCTGCTCTTTTCCACAGGACTCCATTCCAAGGGCACTGTCTGAAAAAACAACCAGCACACAATATTCCATCCCAGAAACTATTTCTGGAGCCTGCAACACAAGCCTTCCAGGATCTGTTCCCTTCCAGGATCTGTTCCCTCTGACTTCAGATCTTTCTGGTCTCCCTGTTGCTCAATGAAGCATCTGTGATGTTTCCTCAAAAGGAATGGCATGCCTCTGCCTTCAGGCCTCTGTGTGGCACTTCCTCCTGCCTGACACACACTTCACTGACCTCCTTCCCATTCTGCTCAGATGTCACCTTCCACATAAGTCACCTGAAACACCTGCATAGGAAGTAAGAGAACAGCCTTGCTTTTTTCTAACATATGTGTTTTTCACTTTTTTGGTACATATTTTCTTTTGAAGAAATGACTTCAGTTGTTTAAAGGAGTGTTTGAAAAATTGCTGTTTTAAGTAAAGATGGCGCAGAGGCTTTGGGCTCGAAAAGACCTGTACTGAATTCTGCAGATGTGTAGGGACTGTGGCCCTGTTCTTTATCTGTGAAGTATAGGTAATGATATTATTGTCCTTCTCAGAATGATTGTGATGGTTAAATGACTTTATGTAAGTCATAGACTGAAAATGATAAAGTTCCATGTAAATATACAGAACTATTGTGAGGAGGTCCTAAGAAACCACCCATCCTAAAACTTCCACTGGAGTAGATTCGTATCCTGGCTGACAGGTCAGGGTCCTGGGAACTTATCTCAGCTGTGCCCAGTCCTGAGTGGACTGACAACATTCAGCAAAGAATACAGTATGGATCCTAGAGGAGGCTCCCTGAGGGCACAGTGACAACATAGCTGGGGACACTGCAGAGAAACTGCCAACTAAAACACACCGTCCAGGAAGTTACATGGTATAAAGTCCTAATTCTTCACTCCTTCTGAACTGATTTTAATTACTTTAGACTTTATTCTAATTTCTAAAGCCCATGTGAAAATAAAAATCATAGGATTTCAAATATCTAGGTCTATATACATTCATCAGAAAAGCTTTAAACTTTAAAACCAGCCATATAACTGTTTGAGATTAGAAGCCTAAATCATTTGACGTATTTTCAACCCAAATTTTTCATGTGTATTTCTGATCTGTAAAGCAAATACACTTCACTTGGCTGAACAATCAAACAATAGCTTCTCCAAAATCTCAACTATTCTTATAAGGCTTTCATTCATTTTTTTTATTTCATGGAGCAAAACGTCCTTGCCCATAACCTCAAGTTCACATCCTTGGCTGGTCCAGAAGTTACACAGATTCTCTTCACCAAGCAAGGACTGCCTCTCAGTTAGCACTACTGGAAATCACAAAAGTAATGTTTAACATATCATGATCCATCTGCCTTTTCATATTTATTTGCAGATCCCACTGTAATCAATGTCTTTATTTCTAAAGAGAGAATAATTTAAGCCTGGGTTTAAAAGAATTAACAGTGATGTCCATTCAAGAGATATCATTATTGAAAAGCATTGTTTTGCAATCACACATTAAAAATAATAATTGCACCATTCACTTTTAAAAATAACAATAAACAGTGCTATAGAGGGATGAGAAGAGAAGACAATGACCACACAGTGTGACTTTGCAGAAAGCTCCAATTACCATGTAATAACAAGACGGCCCTGAATGTTCATGGGGAGTGACAAGGGGCAAGTTACCCCAATCCTACAGGTGCACCTGTTACATGTGAGAAAATCCCTGCCTAGGCTAAAGCAAATTTGGGGAGCTATCATTGATTCTCATAGTGGAGTGCATAGTTATATGAGTGCTTCCTCTTGGGAAAGTCAGTGTTAGGTAAGATTTTTCAGGGTTTTCTTTAAAATGCTAATCTACTAGAAACTGCCTTGGTCTTTCCACATCCTCATTTGATGATATTATGCACTCCTCCGATTTTTCCTCATGGCTTTGTACAGCTTAATATTCAGGCTAGGGAAGCTGGAAATTTCCTCCATGTCAAATAGTTCCTTAAATCTATCTACAAATTTATTTTCTTTCTCCAGCCTGAATTTCATGACCCAGAGGATGATGGTAGTTTCTTTGCACAGATGGTCAAAAGTAACGAGGAGTTCTTCTAGGAAAGGATGGGCATAGACGACATCTGCTGCCAGGATATAGTCAAAATTATTAGAAGACCTAGGGAAGTCTTCATCTAAATCTATGCCCCAGGAGAGCTCTTTAACCTGAGGCAAGTGCTTGCATTTCATTTTGGTGTTTCTGGAAATATTATATTGCAGATTTCCAAGTAATTCAGGTAAATCTGTGGCAGTCACACGAGCACCTATGAAACAAAAGTTAGTAGAAAAAGTAACCCTCTGAGAATAAGGTCAAACAATCAGGTTTCAAGCAAATGTATACTCTATGGTCCTGCACAATTGTTAGTCCTGAAGGAACTCAGCATGTTCACAAGGAACATCCCTGTCATATTGGATGCCACGCAGCTCTCTGCCCCTCCATAAAACAAAAGAAATAGGGCCCCATGGTACTTTTGTGTGCTACTGTACCTTTCTGTTCTCTTGGTTTTTTGTCTTATTATTGTTTTCTTTTTATCTACTAGAGTCTACAAGAAAAAGAAATTCTAAATATTTTCTATCCTCAGTAAAACAATCCAAAGTTATTGATGAAAGATAAACAGGCACTTTTCTAAAAGAATCCTGAATTTCAGTCAAGTGGGACCAGATGAATGCATGGAACATTGGGCATCCTGTAATTTAACAGGGAGTGCTCAGGTGAGAACTAGGGGGAGGAAAGAATGATTTTCTCTGCGTTACATGGAAAGTATCATGACATTCATGTTTATCCCCAAATCCTCAACTGACTCCATCATAACATCCAACAGATATTTACTTTTTCCCTTTAGTCTAGAAATACTTTAATACAATTATAGTATAGTTATGAATTCACATGCAATTCACTGAATATATTCAATGTATTAATCAAATATTATACATCTTTGTTCACTATCCTAATATAATTAAAGCATTTGTACTTAGAGTAGTGAAATAGCATACAAGTAAATCCATAGATTTACATAGTCTTTTTTTATCTGAACCTTACCAAAGTGGATTTTTTAAAAAATAAATTTTAAATACTAGCCACACGTGTATACAGTGGTCATAAAATCAAAGATCATAGATGCAGGACAGATGCTTAGATAAAGAAAAAACTAACAATTTCTGAGTTCTAATTGAATAGCAGTCATTATTTTCAGGCAGGAATTTGGCAGGATTAAATTTGGAAAGCAGCTTCATGACAGAGCAATTAAAAATATTTGGGAGGACTTCAAGGGCCTATATTTCTTCAGTGTTCAGAAAAGTTGTAAATTGCTGAATTTTGAATTCCTCTCAAGATTTTAGAGTGGCAGGTGTGCACTTCTGAAGATCAAGGAAATCAAGATAGATTTGGGTAGTGCACATCAGAGAAGGCAGCTAAATTAAGGCAGTGAAACAGATAACAACAAAGAAAGACTCAACTGAAAGGCTCAGGCAGACACAGAGACTATCACACGTTTAGTTGGAAAAGATGCTGGTGAGAAAACTAAGGGTCATAAAGAAGAATGGAAATAAACTGAGGAGATAAATCCAAAGACAAACACCTAAGATTAGGAGCAGATGTGTGATTTTCATGTGATTTCTAATACTCCTCATTCTAACAGGTGATTTTTCATAAAAGTATAGGACATCAAAACCCCAAAGAAATCTACAGCTACCTAGGAACGTTGAAATAGTGTTAAAATCTAAAGTACATCAAAATCAACAGCAATAGAATACCTAAGCCTCATATTTCACACATCTCCTCAGGTATGTAGGGTGCTTAAGTTACCTCCCATTCAGTATACTTCATCTAAGGCTTGTGACTTCACACTCCATAAGACATAGACAATTCTGGAAAGAACCTAACAGAGATTTTTAACATAGGCAGAGTTTCTTGATGAAGCCCTTTTAAACAATTAAGGAGGTACAAATAGGCCCAGGTCATACATAATACACTAGATAGTAAAAATAACTAATGATATTTGATCATTAAATACTCTGACCACCCCCATTCAATCAAAAACAGCTACTTACCAAGTAAACTTGCCACAATAGAAACTAACCCTGTTCCAGCTCCAATTTCAATCACATTTTTGTCAACCATATTATACTGCTTTGCATTTGTTTCGAGGAAATAGCATAGAACAAGGGCCTGTGACAATTTAAAATAAAAAAAGTGGTTGTCAAGTAATAATTACAGCAAAAGTAAATCCTATTAGATAAATATGCCAGAAGTGTTATGATAAGCATATGTGCATGTATGAGTACAACTGCATTTATGGGTGTTCATATACATCGTTCCAGAAATTATCATCAGAAGTATATCTTCTGATAAGTTAAATATTTTGGCTACAGAAAGTCTTTGGAGATTGTTGGGAGGAAAGGCAGAAATAACCAAAAACAGAGTTTAGTTGCTCAAGTTCAATCACCTTTGAAAGAAGTAACTTCTACTACTACTAGTCACTTCCAAGTAGTGTGTGGGATTGGGGAAGGCAGTAGTGATGAGTTTGCCACCATTCATGGAACAGGTGATAAAGGAGTGGGGACCTTTCAGAATATTCCACATTCAAGACTCACACACAAGCCATTATAACTGTTTAGTTCAAGTGGAGCCAATAAGGTGGGAAATAAAAACATTTACTGTTCTAAGCTTTTACAATCATTAAAAAAAAAAAAACAGGAGTAAACAACATTTGTATTTACCCTCCAAATTCCAGTAAGTCAGAAACAGAACTAATCGGTGGAAGCAATTCCTCAACTGCATGATTTCTAATTTTTAGTGTTCTTTGAGGTCACAGAGTAGGACTATACAACCCGTTTTATTCTTCCTAGTAGGATATGATATTGAATAAAACTTGCTAGAAAACAATTGAAATGCAACAAATTTTGCATGAAATTATACCGATGGCCAAACAACAGCACCGTAACAATCTGTGGCTTCAGTGATCTGAATCTCATGACCAACAAAATGAAAGCCTTCCCAGGAAATGGCTGTTATTCTAGTTGGAATAAAACATCTTGCCATTATCTCTGTGACCACTTGTTTTTCATCATGGCCTTCTCTGGTCTCTGAAAGGAAAGGAAAAGACCATGGTTGTGTTAGTAAACCCTGCAGAAAGGAAAAGAATCTAGTGAAAGTGTACCATTTCTTTGCTTAATTTACTTTTGAAAATCCATTTACTTGGTTGGAAATACAATAGTAAGGTAAACTCTTTCAAAATACCTTATAAATAAACTAACATTTTTTATACCAGGGTATCAACATCTTTCTGATGATTACTAAAGTGGATATCATCACTAGCCATTTCTACAATACTAAATGAAACATACAATAATTGGTAGACTTTTTTTCATTCTTTTTAATTTATTTTATTTTAAAAAATTTTCATTATCATATTGTTGTATGGGGTATACACTGTGACATTCATGAAAGTTCTTACAATATATCTTTGTTATATTCACCCCCTCCATCTTTCTCCTTTATCCCCCCCACGGCCATTCTTAGCATAATTTCAACAGGCCTCATTTCTCCATTTTCATACATGAGTACTCAGTAGTGTCCCCACAAATTTAGCACATGCTTTTGTCTAAAACTATTAAACTATTAAATTGAAATAATAACACATTTTCTTTTCCTCAGTTTCCCAAATATAGTTCTCATCTACTATTGTAGTGATCAAAAGTCAGAGCTCTGGTCAGAGTTTCATTTTCGTGTACTTCCCCAGTTTCAATTCATAATTCTTTAGTGAAGATTCTTTTTAGATTCAGTGCTATTCATTTCATGGAACACCATGTGAGGATGTAGAAAAGACAATTGCAGCATTGCTGACAGAGTTTGTTCTTCTGGAACTTACATATCAGTCATAGTGGTAAGTCCAATCACTTCTAGTCTTCTTGGAGATATACCTCATCTCCACTGTACGGAAGCTTCGTCTGACTGCACTCATTTGGAATGATCCTCAACTTCTCATTCCAATGCGCTTATTCCTTGAGAGTTTAGTCTTAGTAGATGTACTGTGACACCAAAGATGCTGGTCAATTTCTTGGATTTGGGTAAGAAGATATCTCTCAGAATGCATGGTACAATATTTTGGGACCCATATACATGTCCCCTATCTCCATTCCTGGAACTCTGCACCCTGGCCAGAGTGAAGCAGCAGCATATATTGGAAGCTAGTGCAGACCATCTAAGCCTTCTGAAGAATCTTGCCCTAATCTTAAAATCTTGACACTTGGTGAAATATATGTGAACTCAGAAAGCCCTTCCGTTCTGTGTATTTTGCACCATATTCACCCTCCTACACCCTTTCCCCACATCCTCTCCCCTCCTACTGGTACCAACCCACCAAACAGGACCTATTCTGCCCTTCTGTTCTCCGATTTTGCAAAAAAAAAAAAAGACATTTTTGTTTAACATAGCTACAAAGGGAGTTTCCTTGTGACATTATATATATATTATAGATGTATAATATATATATATATATATTATACATATATATAATATATATACTGGTTCTTGATAGACTTTTTAAAGCAATACATTTTCAGGACCACCAGTTCATCTAGAATAAGACAAGGATTGGTGATAGAATTTATGGTATCTACCTGTTCACATTGACTACACTGCACACTTCCAGGTATTTTAGTAATATACAGTAATCTATCTTTTATAACTTGCTTTTACCCAGACAAAAGGTACTTAATACCACCCAACAACATACCCTTGTATCATTTTATTTTTATATTATTTGGGGGGGCATGCATGGCATTATAACATCTACAACATTAAATAAGGTCAATAATCAATATTAACTGCCAATTACTGAGTACATATTTAACATGTCAGGCCATGTTACATAGATTAGAATAACATCTTTGCAACAACTTTGTGTGGTGCTCATCATTATTTTCACAGATAACAAAATTAAGACTCGGGGAACTATATTAACTAGATCAAGATTATATGATATTAAATGAAGTAGCCAGAATTTGAGATTCCTATTCCAAACCCTCTCTAAACTGTTAAAAATGTATGGTATATCAGGAAATAAGGAAATCGGGAAATCTTAAAACTTAAACATATGAGAAAAATTTGGCGAGATCAACATGTTCATCAAAAAAAGATGTGAGGTATTGTGTGTGCACGTGCGTGTGTATGTGTGCATGCATGTGTGCACATGTGTGTGCACATGTGTATGTGTATGCATGGTGTCCTGCTTAGGATCTAGACAGACCATGTATACTCCAAATGAACTCCAGCTGAGCCACATTCCACAGAACGGGGCCAGCCCATCACCCTACTCTCCCTGTACCACAAACACGACTCTATGTGAAGATACAGAGAAAACAGAAAGATGAGAAACTGACATTCTTCAGCAAGAGCCATCTCTTCTAATATATTTCACTGTACTTCTCAAATAAATGTAAGCATTCATATTCAAGAAGAGTTTCAAGAGCCAAGTGATATTGGTAATATGTTTTATTTGAACTTTAACTTTCATTGCACTATTGATATGCACTTGAAGCTAAGACTGAAGGGGCGAGGGGTGGCAGTGTTCGCTGTGGAGGTTCTTTAGGGAAAAGGAAAGAACATTAATTGCTTCCTTGACCTTTAGCTGAGTGCACCCTCCTGGGCTTCCTTGCCTACTGCTTGTAAATGTAGCACTCTTTTGACAAGTCACCTCAGGTATCAGGGATTAATAGATGTTAGAATACACCACATCCCAGGAGCATCCCCTAAAGTTCCAGTTCTTGATATAAAAACTTTGCCAGTGCATATTTACTGGTACAATCTGACATTTCTGGCTTTGCATGTTCTCTTAAAGGTTAGTTGGCCAGATTAGTGCTGCTGTCTAACAAGTGGGTGATAACAAATGATTTTATTTTGTCCTTCTGGATAACAAAGCTAGTCATTTCTTTTTGATAATGACTAATTTTTGCCTTCATAAGGAAATGAAATTTTAAAATATGTGAGTATATTATTATAAATAAAAACTACTTATACTCTCAAGATAAAGGAACTTCAAGGAGATTTTATGAAATAATCGTTAATACTACTGACTGCATGTGGACTTTAAAAGAGCACAACTTTATCCATTATGTATGGTAATTAAATGCTAATTATATGCCTAGGATGATATTATTTTATATAGAAATATTATAAAGTTTAATATATGTTTTATAGTAGTATTCTTTTTGCACTTCAATACTATATGAATGCTACAGGAATTCCATAAAAAGTAATAATTTATCAAAGTAACCATAATTTATACTATGAATTTATACTATGAAACCAAAAATATATTGAATGTGGCTGTTTAAAACAATTTGCCTAGGAGGCAGAGCAAGATGGCAGAGTACAGCATCCTCCATTTGACTCCATAAATGACAAGCATCGGGGTTACAAAGGAGAGACTTCATTCTGAAGAGAGAAAGAGAATCAGGTACAACAAAAGAGATGACAAGAAGCTGAAAAGCACAAAGAAACAGAAAGGCAACAGAGAAAAGTAGAAAACAGTCTGTAACTCCAACTCTGGCTCCCTGGGGAAGAAGGAAAGCCAAAAACACAACCACAAGTAAGCCAGATGGCCCCAGAAATATTGGTAAGCCTCATTTCAGGATAATCCCACACTTTCTGAAATCTTAAACCGAGAACAGGTATTTGAAGTGACAGTGACTGCTCCTGCATGGCAGGCTCCAAAGAAGAAAGACATTTTGTTTCTCTAATTGTCTCAGAGAACAACAGCAATGTGCCATCTTAAGAAGTGCCTAGTGTTTGAGAATGAGATACTCTTGGAACTAGAGTACAAGGAACAATCATAGCTTGGCATCTATGCCTACCCTGCCACAGTGACTGGGTGGGAGATGACCATGAGATGTCATTATGGAGAGGGAAAGTGTCTGATCATGTACTCACTGAGAAGTTTAAGCAATGGGGAGCTCAGGCATTGAAAAGTATGGAAGTTGGTAGAACCAAATCCTATTGTCTGAGGATCACAGCAGAAACACAGCAATATGGCTAAAGTGCTCAACCTCTAAGAGTTGACTCCAGCTATGTGTTTGCTCCCAAGTGGGATTGAGAACTTTGAACCCAGGACAGACAAATCATGTGATTTCAGCAACATCCTTCTTCCCACATGATGAGGAACTGCTGGGAAAGATCTGAAAGCACCCAGAGTGGCCTATAGGGGTTGCTCCCAACTCTGTGAGATTGCTGCCAGGTGGCAATGAGAGGTCTGAGTCTAGGACCAACAGATCATAAAATTTCCTAGGCTCCTCCCTCCCTAAGGGTGGTGATCTGCTGGATGGGATAACATTAACAACCAATGGGACACCATTAAAAGACCAAAACTACAAAACATAGACAGAAGAAAGAGAAGAGATGCAGGCTAAAGACATAGACAATGTATTCAATAAAACAATAGCAGAAAACTTTCTAAATCATGAGAAAGAGATGGTGATCCAGGTACAAGAGGCTTTTAGGTCACCAAACAGACAAGACAAGGAAAACCTCTCCATGGGATATTATAGTTAAAACATTAAATAAAAATGTACTAAATGGTGAAAAACTGAACATTTCCTCTAAAGTCAGGAAGGAGACAAAGGTGTCCACTATCTTTTCTCTTAGTCAGTATAGTGCTTGACTTCTTAGGGAAGAAATAGAAACAAGGTTAAAAAAAGAAATAAAAAGGATACAAATAGGAAAGAATAAGCAAAAGTATCCTTATTTCCAGAGGATATGATCCTGTACTTAAAAGACCCTAAAGACTCCACCAAAAATATTCTTACATCTAATAAACACTTCTGGCAAAGTAGAAGGATACAAAATCAACATACAAAAATCAGTAAATTTTCTATGTACCCATGATGAACAGGCTGAGAAAGAAATCAGAAAAAAATTCATTCACAATAGTCTCAAAAACACCTAGAAATTAACTTAACTTAGGAGGTAAATGACCTCTACAACTACTATCAAACATTGGAAGAAAGAAATTGAAGATGACACTAGAAGATGGAAAGATGTCCTATGTTCATGGCTCACCAGGATTAATATTGTGAAAATGGCTATA